AGTTCAGATAGCTAAATTCAAACTCGCTTGCCCCTCACTGCTGTGGACTTGCAAAAGGTAGGTGGTTATATAAAGGTGCAAGCGTGTGGCTGAAAGGTTCCCTTAAGCTTTCTTCCACCAGCTGGAAAAGTAATCATAATAGTCACAAAAAAAATTTCGAAGGGAAACAACTTTAAAAATAAGTAATGAAATTGAATAACCTCCCTTGAATTGTACGAGGAAAAATATTTTTAAAATGAAAGAACAGACTGAAGTAGCTTCTATCCAAAATATTAGAGCATTTAAATTGTTTTCTACAACAAAACTTAATCAAAATTCTACTCCCGTAAATCCAAATATCCTAAATAAATCTAAAATTTGAGATTTTTGAAATTTTTTCCAGTTTTACGATTTATTCATTGCAGCCTTATCAAAATTACAAATTTATGGAATCATAACATATGAAACCAATAATTTCATACACAAATATTGAATTTCATAACACTAATTTTACATGGTTATATGCATTGGTAAAATTTTTTTATTTTCAATCCAAATCAGTCTGTTGCAAATAATTCTTATTTCTCATTCAAATGCCAGATTAAATTTTAATAACTGTCAATCAGAAACTCAATTAAATAAGCAGCTCTGCCAAATCTAAACTAATCAGTTATTATTAGATTTGTTCGTGGAAATTTATTTACGTATATATCCCAACAATACAAGATAAATCGCACAATGGGAAATAAACACGCTTGAAATAACAGAAATTTTGCTGACAATAAGAAACTAAAAACAGACATCAATAAAAATATATATAATTTATGCACACCCTTTATGGTTTGGTTTTGTAGAAAACATAAATTCTATTTTTAAAAAATGTGTGTGAAACGAGAGAAAGTTCTACTTTGATGCATAAAGATGGTTTAACCCTCACTATACTAATTATCTTTAATGGACTTGTCCATCTTTTTAAATCTGGACAAAACCATTCATCATTTTTGGGAATATTTTTCAATATATTCAGACTGAAAACAAAAAAACAGATGTATCAGCTGATATTGGTGGTAAATTTTCAAAGTGATTTGCCGCAAGCTCAGAATTGAAATAATTGCATGAGGGTCCACCTTCTCTACTCCTTCACCAGTAAAGATGGAAGATTGCTATGTGCTATTACAATATTACTAAATGTTGATAAAAAATTAAAACTCAACATTTAAATGATAATAAAATTTTAAAAAAATAATGCATAAAAAATGTATCCTCCATTCAGATCATATCTGTTTATAAATAACATACTAAGGTGACAGGGACTCTATCATCAATAAACTCCACTTGTACATGTTTCGATATTGCTTGTCTCGATATATCTCTTACACTAATATATATCAGTTATATTGATATACATGTATATTGGTTATATTGTTGCCTCTACCTTCGTTCCGACAGCTTTCATCATAATTCAATATAAGATGCATCTTATATATCAATATCGCATGTATTGATATTTCGGACATACTGATTAAAAAATATAATATTGTAAGATCTATTTTAAAAATCAAAAAACAACATTTTTATAACAAAAAGTTATAAATTAAAAGAAAAAAATGTAGAACGATGAAATATACAATTCTAATAGGGAAAACATGAGGTAAATACATGTACTGGGTATCATTGTTTACTATGTAATAAAAATTCAGAGACAAAAAACAAATTATGTATAATTTAAGCCTCGGTAACATAAATTCAGAAAAATAATATTTATCAAGACGACAATGTTTATAAGGCCTTCAAAAATTATTTCAAACTGACAAAAAATTATGACAATTTTGAGCATGTCTGAAATGCATGACTGACCAAGCAAAATGCTTAAGCCTCGTTTATTTTTCCGAATAAAAAAACCCAAAAACGACAAAATGTAAGAGAGAATGTTACAACTGGAACTAAAGGCAATCATGAGAAAAGACAGGCATGGTATGATTAGATTTGTATTTGTCAAATTCTCTGGAAACCTCCCGGGCTTTTCAATTTTATCGTCTGATTCATCGGGCCTAGCTTTCAAAATGATTAATGGCTGTGCAGATCTGTGAACGAGAAATACTTCGATTACTGACATGTGACAGCTATCTCGTACCTTTTTACAATATCAATTGACATTTCACTTAGGATTCCGTATAAATAATAAACATATTCATTATCACAGCGGTTGGTTTAATTATCATATCACGTTGTTTTTCTAGGAATTACACACTACCACTCTCCTATGACATAACTGAACGTATAATTATTGCGCTGCCTGTCAACATAAAAAACCATTTGTAACTTGATACGGTTGGATAATCTATGCGTGTCTCATCTTCAAACCTTTTCTTTATCAACTGTTTGCTTTGCAATTATACAATCATATTTTGTTAACTGTCACGGGAAACTGAATGTTTTTTCTTGATACGATGCATGCCTTTACATATGATGATAAATTGAAGTGAAGGTCAAGGTCGCTGTTGTCATTGGTGGAACAAACTTCAGTACTGTCGCCGATCACGGTCACTTTCCCCGGCAACTGAAACCCGAATTTTTTGTAGAACATCTTTAAAAAAGATTTTTAAAATATAAATAAAGAGAGGGGTTTTGAAGTCCCCCAAGATCCGCTGTAAAGGGTCCTCTTAAACTATCTCCTAAATTACCAAAAAAAAACAAATTTTTTTTTCAACATTTTTTTGTCATTATTTTTTTTGGTAACGGGAAAAATATGAAATTTCCCTTTTTAATTTTAAACAGTTTCCCCATTTGGAATTTGGTTTAAAAGAAAATATTTTTTTGGGTTATTAGAAAAAAATTTCCCTAATCCTCCCCCAATTTGTCAAACTTTTTGTTTTCGGGTTTATTATAAAAAAAAAACCAAAAAAAATTTTTAGACATGTTTTAAAATAAAACAATATTAAAATTGTAAAAATTAGAAAATTAAATCAATTAAAACGAAGTTTTTTAAACATTAGGGGGCCAAAATTTAAAAAAATAGATTTTTTCTTTTCCTCTGAAGAAATTGCAAACATTGTGTTCCATTATACTCATAAATGTACTTCAACAATGGATTTTGAGCATGATTGAAAATGGTAAATGTGAAAAAAAAAAATGTGAAAAAAAGTAAACAAAGTGGTATTTTCTCTCATACAAAATACTTAAGCGCTATAAGTTTACTAAAAGTCAAAAGGCGGAGTGCTGTCCAACAATTTGGCCAATGAGAACCAGTTTGTAGTTCAGAAAATGTAACAGAATATCAATGATTATAAATTTGGTGCAGTTTAACTGAAAAATATGTAAAATGTTTAGATAATATGGTTACATATGAGTATGAATTATTGTCAGTTTAAAGTATAACAGTAAATAAAATAATAACATGCAAATAATAATAATAATAATAAAAAACATGCAAAAAGCAATCTGTGAAAATAAACAAGAAAGAAAACAAAAGTTACAGACGGTAGACACTATGCATTGTATATATCAAGTGAAAGGGCATAAATGTATATAGAGTTGAATAAAAAAAAATACATCATCTAAATATCAACTCTGTTTAAGTAACTAATATTTCTGGTCTTTCACTCAAATTTAAGATAATACATTTATTTTCTAAATTATTCCTTTTTTGTTACATATTGATATATTGTTTTTTCTTGTAACAACTATAAACAGTCTACATGGAAAAAAAGAAAAAATAGGTCAAAAGAATGACAGCTTGCATTTTAACAGTGACTGATTTTTTGTTAGAAAGACTTTTACATGCATGTACATGTAATCACATTTGAAACATTGATTTTCATTAAACAATTGTGATGTTTATAATTTTTATATGCTACTTAAAAATTGTATTATAAAATATCATTATTTTTAATAAAAGAAAGTATTTTTATACATTTGTTATGGAAACATTTCACATACAAAAATATGGCTTTTGTCTCAACAGAGTTTTGATATGCATATAACTGGGCCAAATATTTCCTGTCAAAAGCCTTCATATACAATGTAACTTGTAATAAAAACAAAAATCTATACAATTTACTAAGATCTCTCTCACTTTCATCACATTCTCTCAAAATCTGGCAGTATAGACTACTTAAATACTTAAATAATTTGATGCATATGACTCTGACTTAGCTAATGATTGTCCATTGGAGAGCTCATAGAAATTCAAGATCTTACACACTACTGACCATATGTGGAGAGCTTGAAGAACTCGATAATGACCATGTATGGACGAAAGAAGAAAAGCTGGACCTGCTGACATAATGATGACCGTATATGAAGGACCCAAAGAAAATCAGGACCTGACTTAACCATAAATGGAGGGCTTGATGAAATCATGACCTAGTTCAGTAATGACCATAAATGGAGGGCTTAAAGAAAATCAGGCCAAGACTTAATGATGACCATATACGGAGGGCTCAACAAAAATCAGGACCAGACTTAGTGATGACCATGTAAGGAGGGCTCAAAGAAAATTAGGACCTGACTCCATAATGAAAATATATGGAGGGCTCAACAAAAATCAGGACCCGACTTAATGATGACCATGAACGGAGGGCTCAAAGAAAATTAGGACCTAACTCCATAATGAAAATATATTGAGGGCTCAACAAAAATCAGGACCCGACTCAATAATGACCATATATGGAGGGCTCAAAGAAAATCAAGACGTGCTGACTTAATGATGTCAGATGACCATACATGAAGAACTCAAAGAAAGTCAGAACCTGACTCAATGATGACCATAATATTATTATAATTATATGGAGGGCTCAAAGAAAATCAGGCCCTGACTCCATAATGAACATACATGTATATTGAGGGCTCAACGAAAATCTGGACCTGACTCAATAATGACCATAAATAGGGACTCAAAGGAAATATGCATAGTCTTATAGCCAATTAAATTGGAGCCAGCAAAATTGGCATAAATAACAGGTATTAAAACATAACCAGATATATAAAAAAAAACATAATCAAACTGAAAATAAGTAATCTTTGGTTTACAAACAAGAAGTTCATTTAAATAAAGTGAATAACCTTTCTATGATACTCTCTTTCATTCCTCTTGCTCCTTCAAAAAATATTCCATTGTTTTCATCTCTCAAAATATTGCACCTTGGTAAACGCTGATTTTTATCATTTCTCAACAAAGTATTTGTCACCCTGGAAAATTACCAGTCAATTTATGAACCAAAATTCCAGTGTCTTTATTTACATGTATATTATACCACTGATGATTAACTCAATTATGAATCTATAATACACACACCATTTGAACAAATCAAGTCACAATTATAAACTTGAAATGTGTCCATAGGACACGGGTGCCCCCACCGCGCCACTGTTCTGTCAATCTTATGACTCTAGGTCAAATATTTTTTGAAAACTAAAAATCTTTTACTAAGTAAAGGGCAAGAACTTTACAAATACTGAATAAATCCACAAGCAAACCCCAAGGTGCATAAATACACATGCTGACCAACATTCTTGTAAACTTTCAGGCCTACAAGTGAAATACTTTTTGAGCTGTGCATGAACAAGTTGAAAATTGCAAATTTATACTACTGTAAGTCAAGGGCAATAACTCTAACAAAACTGAAAAAAATCCACATGCAAAGTCCCAGGTGCATAGCTTCACAGTGATGTGAATCATTATTCCTGTAATTTAATGATGTTGATTATTATTCCTGTAAAGTTTGTTGATTCTAACTCAAGCACTCAAGGAACAAATAACAACATAATGAAACGGTTTTTACTAAGTCAAGGGAAATAACTCTACAAATACTGGATAAATCCACAAGCAAAACTCCAGGTGCAAAACTAAATATGCTGAACAACCTTCCTGTAAGGTTTAATGACTCTAGGTCAAATCCTTGTTAAATTACATGTGACACAATTTGAAAATTGCAAAAAATTTATAAGTCAAGGGCAATAACTCTAAAATTACTAAATAAATCCAGACGAAAATACCCAGGTGCACAACTACACATGCTGATCAATATTCCTGTAAAGTTTCATGACTCTATGTCAAATATTTTTTGAGTTACATGCGACACAAGTTGAAAATTGCAAAATTTTACTAAGTCAAGGGCAATAACTCTAAAAATACTAAATAAATCCAGACTAAAATATCCAGGTGCACAACTACACATGCTGATCAACATTCCTGTAAAGTTTCATGACTCTAGGGCAAATATTTTTTGAGTTACATGCGACACAAGTTGAAAATTGCAAAATTTTGCTTAGTCAAGGGCAATAACTCTAAAAATACTAAGAATATCCAGAAGAAAATACCCAGGTGCACAACTACACATGCTGATCAACATTCCTGTAAAGTTTCATGACTCTAGGTCAAATACTTTTTGAGTTACGTGCGACACAAGTTGAAAATTGCAAAATTTTACTAAGTCAAGGGCAATAACTCTGAAAATACTGAAAATGTCCTGACGAAAATACCCAGGTGCACAACTGCACATACTGATCAACATTCCTGTAAAGTTTCATGACTCTAGGTCAAATACTTTTTGAGTTACGTGCGACACAAGTTGAAAATTCCAAAATGTTACTAAGTCAAGGGCAATAACTCTGAAAATACTAAAAATATCCAGACGAAAATACCCAGGTGCACAACTACACATGCTGATCAACATTCCTGTAAAGTTTCATGACTCTAGGTCAAACATTTTTTGAGTTACATGCGACACAAGTTGAAAGTTGCAAAATTTTACTTAGTCAAGGGCAATTACTCTAAAAATACTAAGAATATCCAGAAGAAAATACCCAGGTGCACAACTACACATGCTGATCAACATTCCTGTAAAGTTTCATGACTCTAGGTCAAATACTTTTTGAGTTACGTGCGACACAAGTTGAAAATTGCAAAATTTTACTAAGTCAAGGGCAATAACTCTGAAAATACTGAAAATATCCTGACAAAAATACCCAGGTGCACAACTGCACATACTGATCAACATTCCTGTAAAGTTTCATGACTCTAGGTCAAATACTTTTTGAGTTACGTGCGACACAAGTTGAAAATTCCAAAATGTTACTAAGTCAAGGGCAATAACTCTGAAAATACTAAAAATATCCAGACGAAAATACCCAGGTGCACAATTACACATGCTGATCAATATTCCTGTAAAGTTTCATGACTCTAGGTCAAATACTTTTTGAGTTACGTGCGACACAAAAGAGAACGGACGGACGGAAGGACGGACGGACAAGGGTAAATCTAAATGCCCGCCTCTAAAGTGGGGGCACAATAAAATATAAATCAGTACTCAATTTTGTATTATAGACCAAACAGCAAAATGTATTTGTAAAGAAAACAGCTTATTCAAAATCCCCAATTGAAATAAGTTTGACTGTATCAATAATCTCAAGTCTTTGATTTTCATTTTAATGTTTTACCAGAAATTTTTCATTGTAAATCAAACCTGCTGGAGCAAAAATCTTGGATCCCCTTTATATGGACTCAAAGACACTGACAATGACCTATTAATTTTCATATTATTATAAATTATGTTGTCCTGGTAACAGATTTTTGAAATTTTTTGGTAACAGAAAGCAAGCAGACGCAATTGTCTAATGCTCATTATGGTTACATGCTACATTTACAGTGAACCTTAACATCCCACAATCAATTTAAACAAAAAGAACTAGACCTGCCACTGTCATGGCGTGAATTAATCCCTGCATACCACTTTGTCAGAATAAAAGTGGCCATTTAGAGCTAAAAGACAACCTCCCTGCCAAATCTGAGGTTACTTAGCCAGTGCATTGCTAAGTTATGTATTCTACATGCTTCAAATATCAATACACTGCGAAAAGGCATTCTTAAGCATTTGAGCAGACAAGCATATTATAGTAAAATTCCTGTGACTTGACTTTTGACACAGTCACCTAAAATCAATATGGGTCATCTACTAGCCATAAACAACCTCAATACCAAATATGAAGACTGTTGACCAAAGCATTCTTAAGCAATTGAGCGGAAAAGCTTTTTCTAGTCATGGCCCATGTGACCTTGACCTTTGACCCAGTGACCTCAAAATCAATAGGGGTCACCTAATGGTCAGGATCAACCTCCATGCCAAATATGAAGACTTTGGGTCAAAGGAATCTTAAGTTATTTTGCGGACAAGCTTTTTTAGTCAATGCCCCTGTGACCTTGGCCATTGACCTGGTGACCTCAAAATCAATAGGGGTCATCTACTAATCATGACTAACCTCCATGCCAAATATGAAGACTGTGGATCAAAGGAATCTTAAGTTATTGGGCAGACAAGCTTTTATAGTCAAGGCCCCTGTGACCTTGACCTTTGACCCAGTGACCTCAAAATCATTAGGGGTCATCTACTAATCATGACTAACCTCCATGCCAAATATGAAGACTGTGGGTGAAAGGAATCCTAAGTTATTGGGCGGACAAGCTCTTTTTAGTCAAGGTCCCTGTGACCTTGACCTTTGACCCAGTGACCTCAAAATCAATAGGGGTCATCTATTAATCATGACTACTTCCATGCCAAATATGAAGACTGTGGGTCAAAGGAATATTAAGTTATTGGAAGGAAAAGTTTCTTTTAGTCAAAGCCCCTGTGACCTTGACCTTCGACCTAAAAATCAATAGGGGTCATCTACTTATCATGACTTACCTCCATGCCAAATATAAAGACTGTGGGTCAAAGGAATCTTAAGTTATTGGGTGGACAAGCTTTTTTTAGTCAAGGCCCATGACCTTGACCTTTGACCCAGTAGCCTCAAAATCAATAGGGGTCATTTACTAATCATGACTAACCTCCATGCCAAATATGAAGACTGTGGGTCAATGGAATCTTAAGTTATTGGACGGACAAGCTTTTTAGACAAGGCCCTGTGACTTTAACCTTTGACCCAGTAATCTCAAAATCAATAGGGGTCATCTACTAATCATGACTAACCTCCATGCTGAATTACAGAATATGAAGACTGTGGGTGAAAGGAATCTTAAGTTATTGGGCGTACAAGCTTTTTTTAGTCAAGGGCCCCTGTGACCTGAACCTTTTTGACCTCCAAAAATCAATTTAGGAGTCATCTACTAAATCATGGGCACTTAACCCCTCAATGCCAAATATGAAGACTTGGGTGAAAAGGAAAATCTTTAAGTTTATTGGGCGGACAAGGGGAAAAACCCGACGGACGGGGAGACGTCCAGACGGCCGTACAGATAAGTTGATTCCAGTATACCCCCCTTACAACAAGTGGGCACCCTTCTTAGGACACAAAAATGGTACTATTGTAAGATAGACAAAAGAATGTGACAAAAAAAGATATGCCAGTTTAGAGCAATAGAAATACATGTATAAATTGTGTTCTATCAATATAAAATATATACAAGTAGATAACTTTGGAGCATTTCATGCAAAGTGCATTTTGCAATACAAAACAGGTGCTATGTTAAAATGTGGCAGACATGTTATGATATTTGACAATCTGAAAAGTTTATATGGAGGATAGATTATAAATTCTGTGGTGCTTTTAAGAACACTTGCTGCTTTGCTCGGTGCTTGCCTTACCTTGTGCATCTATCATGATTATCAATGTTTAGAATGAGAATGCCTGAAAATCAAGACAATATTGTGATTATAAGAATGAGGTACTCTAACCATTACTAAGCTAAATATCCTAAATGGACTTGTCCGTCTTTCAATCTGGACAAAATCATCCATCATTTTTAGGGAAATTTCTTTCTTAAATAAGTACTGGCTTGTTTAAAATTGGACAGTGCACACCATGATCAGACAAATGATCTTGGCCAGCACTGGACACATGGGTTGACTAAGTTAGCAGACTAAAGACTAAAGAACCTTGATGACTTTTCAAAATCTGAAAAGGGGAATTGCATGAAATGATGTCACTCAATAAGGTAATATTGTACAGTACAAAATTGTCTGAAATAAAGACACTGTCACAAATCTTAGACAGAATGTCTTTATATGGGTTAAAATTTAACATATAACTTACTGAATATAGCCTTAAAGTCTTGGTACTGACCTAAACAAATATCAAGAATTTCAAAAAAAACAAGCAATTATCATAGTATTGCAAGCAATCCATAAGTCCCCTACCGGTAGGAGCCCAAGCAACATTCTGAAGGGCCATTGGCCATTCACTTAGGTTCCTATTTTAAGTAAATTTGTTGAAAAAGTTCTTTAAAAGTGATCACAGGAAACAGTTTTTATGTACAGACAGACGGACTGAAGGACACTCTAAAGTTGTTTTTTAAACATCCCTGCTATCAAAATATAACATTTTTAAAGTCCTATCATGATTGAAGAAGTTGGAGTAAAAAGTTACCAATTTCTCAAAAAAAAGTCTAAGTTCAAAAGGGGCATAATTCTGGAAATAGTCTTGCTAGAGTATTGAACACTCACAAATGTTGAGTGATAATAAGAAACATTTATATGAAGTTTGAAGTAGATACATTCAGAAAAAGAAGTTATTAAAAAAAACAATGTTTTTTTCATGAAAAATTTTTAAGTTCAAGGGAGGTAATTCTGATAAATTTTGTGCTAGAGTTTTAAAACCTTGTCACATATGATGTGGTTGATGACAAGCAACTTATATTTAAAGTTTGAAGAAAATACCTTAAGAAATAAAGAACTTATAGTGAAAAAACTTAAAAACTAGAATCAGAAATCTTGAAATTCAGTCTATTTGTTGCCATAGCAACCAGAATTTTTCAACATAGGAAGATAAGAAAAGGATGTGCATAATTTCCATACTGCCATCTACCCATATGTCAAGTTTCATAAACATATTTTTCAGTACTTTTTGTGTTATCACTGGATCCAGGTTATGTGTAAAATTTGCCATATTTTTTCCCAGTCTATTTGTTGCCATAGCAACCAGAATTTTCAACATAGGAAGAAAAAAAAAAACGTGCATAATCTCCATACTGCCATCCTATTCATATATCAAGTTTCATAAAAATATTTTCAGTACTTTTTGCGTTATTTGCGGGATCCAGGTTATGTGTAAAATTTGCCATATTTTCAGTCTATTTGTTGCCATAGCAACCAGAATTTTCAAGATAGGAAGAAAAGAAAAAAAGACGTGCATAATCTCCATACTGCCATCTATCCATATATCAAGTTTCATAAAAATATTTTCAGTTCTTTTTGCGTTATCGCGGGATCCAGTTTTGTGGACGGACTGACTGACAGACAGACAGATAGACAGACAGACGGACAGATGGACGGAGGGCAAACCTAAAGTCCCCTCCGGTTAAACTGGTAGGGGACTAAAAAAATCTGTCACAGTGGACAGTGTTCATGAAAGACTGTTGTAATACTAGATAGTAAAGAAAGGCATCTGGGAGAAAAAAATGGAGGAAACATACAAACATATTGCTTTTGGAGTATCAATAGAAAAGTCATAAAATTATCAAAATAGAGAAAATCACATAATATTCCTATCAATAAAAGTCAAATATCTCAAAAGATTTCCACTAAAAATAATTATTTCTGCCCATGGAATTTATATTGAATCAGGAATTGTGCTAGTCTCAGTTGTCATTTAGTCTCCATGCAGCTTTCCTCAGTGCATTATATTAATACAAGTTTTGAGCCATGCAGAAATTTTCACAAATATAAATCATTAAATAATTTCATAAAAATACATGTTACAGTGAAGAATCTCGATCAATGACCTACAATAATGATCTGAGAGACATTGTGTGAAGTTCTGAATGCTGTCTTTGCCCAGACTGACTTTGGCTGTATTTTGTGGTTTGGAAGATAGAACTAACATGACTGTAAAGTACAGAGTTTTTTTAGTCCTCAAAATGGAAGTAAAATAGTATTCAGTAATTTCTTTTTTATATCCAATTAAGACATACAGGATTAGTCTTGGTCCGAAGCCTATGATTATGACCCTGAAGACATAAGTGAAGTTTCAAAAGTTTATCTTCACTGGTCGATCAGTGAAGTTTCAAGAGTATATCTTCACTGGTCGGTCAGTGAAGTTTTAAGAGTATATCTTCACTGGTCGATCAGTGAAGTTTCAAAATTATATCTTCACTGGTCAATTAGTGAAGTTTCAAGAGAATATCTTCACTGGTCGATCAGTGAAGTTTCAAGAGTATATCTTCACTGATCAATCAGTGACGTTTCAAAAGTATATTTTCACTGGTTCATGAATAAAGTTTCAAGAGTATATCTTCACTGGTCAATCAGTGTAGTTTCAAGAGTATATCTTCACTGGTTGACCAATGAAATTTCAAGAATATATCTTCACTGGTCGATGATATAGCACTTAACTGAATGTTACATGAAGGCAATGGTATTTACAATAGTCACACTACTTTTTTTATGAATTTTTATTAGTGGAACTAAAAATGCAACAAAACAAAACTCGTATTTTATGTATTAATGCCTCATGTCATGATATGATAATGTAAATAATCAAATGTGTAGATTAAATTTTGTAATTCATCAAAACTGAAATTTGCAATGATTTACGGCCATGTGATTTATTGTATGAACCGTAGATTATTGACAGTATTGATGATAAACATCACACAACTTTCTCATAAATGTGGATCAATTTCATTTGAATAAACAGCAAGTTTTCAAATGGTTTTATTCAATATATCTGTTCTAAAAGTGTCTGAAAACTACAAAATTCAATATCTGCTGTAGGCCAAACATCCTCAGAATTCAAAAAGTATCTTTGAGTGAAATGTTTTGATGGTGTTTTTATTTTTTTATTTGAATCTTTTCAGTTCTCCTTAAATTTTCTTTTCCAAAATTTAAAAAAAAAACACACCAAAACAAACAGCATTATTTTTCCGGTGCTTTGTTAATTACTCATTTAAACTCTATTTATTTGATTTATATTAGTTTAAAGGAAAACGTTTAACAAATAAAAGTATGGATTTATCCCCCCCTTTACTGAATTCACACTTCTCTTAAACATGTGTAGGCACTTGATTATCACAGAAAATAATACAATACTGTTTGCTCACACTTTCAAGGGCTTCATAAATCTATAGAATTAATTTTCATTGATATCAACAATTGTTTATTCTTTAGGACAAACTATTTACATAAATGGGACAATGTGATTATGCTCTATTGAACAATATTGATACAGTCATATTTTAGACAGTTATTAAATGAAAGCATACAATGTGAATCAGTGTAAATTATAATAAAAATAATATATTACAAAATTAGAAAAAATCCAACTATATTTTTAACCCTTTAACCTGCTCTGTGTAAGGATTTTCCCTGCATCAAATTTAAAACAATCTGAGGTTTTTATGATTTCAATATCAAAATACAAAATACAAACATTTAGCTACCAACGATATAGTGCCTGGTCAGACTGCATGTATGTGATGACTGGCCTGGTTCTATACTGGTGGCAAAGTCTAACCAGTATCTGTTCAAGCAGCATACATGGTAAACATCACTTGCTATTAAGACCACAGGTGAACATTGTGTGGTCATGACTTACACTATACCCCCGTTCCCCCTCTACAACCCAAAACCCTTAAACATCATCCAAACATCATAAGTATTGACAAAATAAATTTTATGAAAAAAAAAATGAAAAAAAATGTATGGCTCTAAAAAATTAAATAGAGTCATAAATTTTTTTTTTTCATAAAATTTATTTTTGTCAATACTTATGATGTTTGGATGATGTTTAAGGGTTTTGGGTTGTAGAGGGGGAACGGGGGTATAGTGTAAGTCATGACCACACAATGTTCACCTGTGATTAAGACTTGCATAAAATATATGTTATAAAGATTTTTGTCAGGTTATATGACCCTATCTAAATGTTTAATTAGAAATATAACCCAAACTGTTAGGGGTGGGTTATATTGCCAATAACCATTTATATATGACCATATAACCTGTCAGGAATATTTATAACTAATCAATTAAACTGCACACTTCCTTTTTTGGAGAGAAAAAAAAAAAGGTGAGATTTTTTTGATAAATTAACCGTAGCCGTATATGTAATACTATTTGAATGTCAAGATTATCCAATGAAAAGCAACATTAAAAATGTGAAGTACTTTAATTTAACTACATGAGAGTGAGACATTGGCAAGTCATTATGACAACTAACATTCAAAGACTTATGTCATAACAATACAAATGAAACATTAAACTTCAGCAACATGAAACGTTTAACATCAAACTATATAACGATATAACTTTTGCAGATAATACCGTATTCTTAAATTTTTGGCTTGCTCGAGGGTACGTTGATGCATGAAAATTTCTCTGTTTCGATCTCGCTCAGATATAAAAATCTCACGACCTACCATTCTAATAGATTCTCTCTCTCCTTCTTTATAATTATCCCTATTAAAGTATGACAAATGAAAACTGTTTTAAACTATTTTTTACTATCAACCATTAACCTGTTGAATTTTTGTAATACATTTTCGAATTACTTTGAATGTGAAACAGTTCATTCAAAGGTTAAGAGATTTAAATCTCAAAAAACAACAAGACTTGTCCACAAATGGCATGCTCCACTTTTCTCGGTGCTGGATAGCATAATTTAAGCAAAGTCTAAGAAGGGGCATAACTCTGCAAAATTAATTTTGGGATTATATGCCCTTTGCAAATAGGGTCACATTTTTATAGTGAACGTGCATACCAAAGCTTGGAGTGAATAGCTTTAATAGTAACTGTAATAGTAAAATGGACCTTAAATAAAAGGTTTGAAATCTGAATGCTGGTATAAGTGGGTCAAGACTTTCTTTCCTTTGAAAAGTCTGGAGCTAAATATTGAGCTACCAACAGTATATGAAGCCTGGTCAGACTACATGAATGTGCAGGCTGGTCTGGCTCTATACTGGAGGCAGAAACTAACGCAAGATAAGGGTAAATATGACAAGTTGAAATAGTTGACTATTAAAGGCACATTATGCCTCAGAAACAATTAATTTTTTCTTTCTTTTTAAAATGGCAAACATGAATTTTATAACATTTAAATAACTCTTTCCGACATGTTAGATATTTATTACCTTAAAAAAGAAGCTCTGAGTCATAAAAGTAGCAAAGTGTAAACAAAGTAGACTTTTGATTTCCCTAATAAATACTAAACCACTTAACTGTATATATTGCCAAAAAAGCATCAGAAGCAAAATATATCTCTGAAAATTGGGCAATGAGCATTTCTTTTTGAAAACAATACCAGGGCACCCAAAATAAAAAGCTTTTAAAAAATATAAAAATAAAAGCATATCTAAGACATAATGGGCCTTTAAAGATTTTCACTGTTTGAAAATAAGGATTCACAAATAAATTGTTTGCTATTTTTAAACAAAATTGTGACAGGTGAAATTACTGTGAAATAAATTTTGTTAGTGGGAGGAGGAAGATATAAAAAGTTACTACTTGAATCAATTAAATAAAAACTAAAATAACATAATGAAATAAAAACTACAGAAGATTTAGTGCTTCTTTTTAATGTAAAATAAGAAATTTATGGACGGATTTAATGAGAATCGAAAATGCAAAAATGAAGATGAAGTGATTTTTCATTCTTTTTTTTAATCTTATTTTCTTTAAAATGCAACAATCTTTTTCTCCAAATTTGTAAAAACCTGATAAAGATGTTAAATTAAAGCTGCATGCCTCCAGATGAGCTAAAATATTTCAGGAAAATCAAACTTTGGGAAAATGTGAAATCAAACTTTGGGAAAATGTTCTAAGATTTTAAGAAGTACAAGATTCAAGACAATAGTTTTTGCAGTATTTATCTCCATATTTCCACTGTATTATAAACACAGTAATGGGAATTTTTAAATATTTTGACCTCTTTTTGGCATTTTCCATCGATTTTAGGTACAGTTTGCAATGCGTAAATTTCTTCCTTTTTTCACTTCACAATGTTCTACTTTTAAATACATTTTAAAAATGCCATAAGAATAACCATGAGTCTAGAAGCATGCTGCTTTTATTAACCTTTTCCCTCATATAAGCGTGTTTTGTTGGCTTTTTGCCCCCCCACTTTTTGAGGCCTCAAACAGTAAATAAAATGCCCTATTTAGGCCCCAAACACTGGTTTTCGTTTGAGAAATGTTGACCACTTTTTCGGCGCCGTCCCCCATCCAAATGTTACATCAGGAGGTTGCCAGAAGGGGGATGTGCCCCCTTCTGTTTGGGGGGTTTGAAGGGGGGCGGAGTCCCCTCATCGCCAAGAAAATTTTGGACATGTGACAGGCTAAAAATTGCCTCAGGTCGATCTTAGGGTAACTAGTAACTGACGCTGAAAAGCCTTTTACTCTATCTCAATTCATTGAGAAGTTGCAGCACTTTGAAATCAGTTTTGATGGAAAAAACAATGCAAAATAGTGATTTTTGGCAATTTTGAGACGTCCCCCCGTTGCCATGGTAACAGGAAATTTACGATTGAGCATGCTGTTACAGAGGCTATAGTGTAGTCAACATTTGTGCCAGTTTCATCAGTATTGAAGCATTTTTCATAGTTTCAAAGCAGTTTGAACTTGTTACAGGAGGCTTTTCAATGAAAACGGCCATTTTTCGCAATATGCTCATGGGGTAAAAGGTTAAGTTATATATTGGATTGTTTTAATAATCTTTATGTTGAATTTTGTAACTTGAATTCTTATGATGATTTTTTTAAAACTTAAATGAGGTTTAAAAAACAGTAAAGGACAATTAAGGTGAATAATTTCTTGAATAATATGATAGTGATATTATTTGACATCTATATACAAGGGAAGAACTGTAACCCTTACTTGTAGCACTAAAATGTTCTCTTCTTTCTAAATAATATAATATAAATAAATAAACATAATGACTCAAACTGTTACTATATCCTATAATAAAGTACAAGATATCTTAAGAAAAAACTTCATGTTTGATTGTTTGATTAGTTGAATTTAAAAAAAACCAACACTGTAAAGGTTTTACAGTGACTTTCCAGCTTTCCTGGTAGAGGAAAACTTTAGGTGCCCCTTATGTGCATTTATATTTTCCAGCACATGCAGTCACCCGAGTAGAACCACTGACCTTCAGTAAGCTAGTTGGATAGCTTTCTCAAATGAAAGGGCCCAAAGTTCCCGACAGGATTTGATCCCAAAGCAGTGAGGGGCAATTGATTTATAACCACTGGGTCATGGAAGTGTTTTTGAATTTATATGAAAAAATATATAAACATGAGGTGCAAGAAAGATAGCACACTTGACTTTACTCAGTTTTTGATAGTATAACATGATAGATATTGCACAAAATTCAAAAAGTGGAATAATCTTATTAAAAATTCAATGCAAGAGTTATGACCCTATGAAAAATTATGACTTAAATAGTTATGGAGATTGATATTTGTTACACCAACACCAATGCTAAGTTGAATAAAAAAGTCAAGCAAAAAATTGTGTTAATTTCTAAATATGTCAAAAACTGACTAATCCATTTGCAGGATTCCAAAAGAGAATGCCAATAAATTCACAGCATAAGAACCAAGTCATGTCATCACTTTGGTGTTCTTTTTCTAGAAACTGATATTGATGTCTTTGAAGAATAGTCATCCATTTTTTTTGTTTCATGACGCACCAACACAATTTAGGTCATGTGGTGACCCACACTGGTGGAACTACTTTTAGACAAACTGGCATTTCCACAGACAAAGAATACATTTTTTCATGCCATAGTCAATTGCTACCAATAACACCCCCCCCCCCCCAAAAAAAAAAAAAAAAAAACCTAAGTGAATTAGCTTGGACTTTGACTTTTGGATAATCAACCACTGGTTTAAGGGGTTTTTTTAGATGGTAAAATCTTTGCTTAATGCCCCTTTACCAGTAGTTTACATATTACCGCTTTTTTGGCACTACAGTCAACCCACCACTCTGACCCAAAAGTTAAGGGACACTGCCAGCGGACAGACATAAAGGCAATACCAGGCTTATTTCCTCCCTTCTTCCAAAGGAGTAGAGCGTACAGGGTTTGTGTGTGTATTCTACCTTTAACGAGGGTAAATCCGCCTTTTCAGGCACTGAGAGTACAGACCCCAGGGTACAAGGTTACATGTGACTGATGCGTTTATACTTACTTATCATCATACTGAGATTCAGTGTTGGACCTGTCCTGATTGCGGTCTCTCATCCTGTATGGTTGAGGTTTGGGCACTATACTACTGCTGGGTTTCTGACTTATCACCTGGGCAAGCTTGTAATAATCTATAAAAGTCCTTGCTAGATTCCTGCCCAGTTTCATGTCTGAGAAAAATGTTAAGGTCGTAACTTAACGATAACATCGTCGCAGTTATCTACTCTAGTGATATATGGTTATGTTGAACCTTATAATAATAAATATATTGTGCAATCTAGCAATACAGTGATTTGTCTGAACATGATTGAATTGTCCACGGAATGGTAGACAGATAAAGCAAATGATAAACGCATCCACTTATACATAAACATCCTTTCTAGCAAACTGAAATGATAAGTTCTGAAAAAATGACATTTTGCTAAATATATTAACAACTTTTTATGATATTCTTACGCAGGTTTCACATTGGTCATCAACAAATTTGTCATGTAACCTTTCCCAAAATTGATTTGTTCTACTTTAAAAATATAGGACAGCTCACATGGTTATTTAAAACGTGGGGAGTTCATAATCAAAATATACAATGAATTTCAAAAGTTTGAAGTATGGATCTGTGTCAACAGAAATACATCTGAGTAGTTTTGATCATTGAAAAAAAGTACATTAAGGGAGATAATTTAAAAATTATTTTAAGATGGAGTTATGGTTCTCTTGCAGTGCACTTTCTCTCACTGTTATCTATTTGTATTTTAAGTTTCATTGGAATCTCTAATACTTTCAGAGTTATCCTCTTGACAAGAAAAAATACAAACTATAGTAATCTTTGACCTCTGGGTGTGACCTTGACCTTGGTCATAGGGTTCTGGGTGTTGCGTATAACACATTTTCCTAATATGGTGAATACTGATGTAAACTAATTACAAAATCCTTTAATGAAAAGAAAAGTTGTGGACCAGATACAAAACAGGCCCTATAACAGATAGAGCAACAATGCACCGATATCTAGATAATTACTTAAAATTACCTGCTTCTGTATATGTTTTGGGTGAATTTTCCTAATTTCTAGACATTTAATTAATAAGTCAAAATTATCGATTTTTTGAAATGTGTATCGATTATTGATCAACAGAAAAATATCAACAATACATCAATATTGTTTTTATGTCGATGACAGTTCTAATAACAGCTCTAATAACAGACCATGTTAAGCTAACTGAAGGTAAAAATAACTGAGAAATGCTAGTATAATATTTAAAATCCATTTCTTTCCACGGAAAAATCCATTTAGCAGTTAATATATATAAAGGATACATCCTTCCTCTGTATATGGCATTGACTGACCTGTGGCGCTAGTCTGGTAACTGTAGAAGGAAACTTCTAGTGTGTAACAGTGTGAGCTCTCATCTAAACATCCCCCAAGAGTCCTGTAATATACAATAATTTGTGCATGTTAATTTTGATGAAAGAATAAAAGACCTCTGTAAAATAAAGCTACATATATTTCAAGGGACGTAACTCAATCTAAAACCAACACGAAATAAGCCAATGATTCACTCCCCTTGGACTGATAAAACATCAAAAGTGGCAAGTTAAAATCTATTTCAAAAGCAAATTTGTAAAAATACCAAAACATAATACATGAATTAAGGTATTTGTCTGAGATACAAGTTGAAGATAAAGACGAAAGAAAAATTCTAGCCAATTCTTAATACTTATGTGACTTGGTTTTATTTCTTATAATCTTATTCTCTATATTTATCAAGTTCTGAAAATCCAACAAACCAATGTCTGCTTTTTTCTTTTTATTTTTCATCCCTATCTCACAGTTTGACAGCATCATCTCTCACTGTTTTAAAATTACCACTACATCTGTCACACACATAGATGTATAATTTTGACATTAAATTTCTGTAAACAGTTTTTCCCCACATTATCTACTGACAAATTTCTTTATCGGCAACATAAAAATATGTGTTTTATCTACAAACAGGATTCCCGAGAGTGGTCGATGTCGGAATTAGACAGCGGAAGGAGATACAGTTTCACCATAACAAATTCTGCAAAACTCAAAAATTGACAAATACTGAATATCAATTCCCTGCCGTAATTAGTAAATTCTAATAAATCAATTTTGTCAATTTCAATATTCCGCCAAAATGAATCAGCTTCTCATATTTTTACCAGGGACAGATTACATAAAAAAGTAATCATGAAATTCGGGGGACCGCTGTTTTGCTTGAATGACGAATGCCACTTTTGCTCTATACTTTCATTGCTCATCAGTCTATATCCCTCTATCAAAGCAAACCAAGTCATCCATCAATATATTTTTTCCATATTTGGATTCACAACGTAATAACTCGGGATATTATAATGAATTAAACAATTCCCAGGCATCTACCAATATCCTAAGATAGAACCAAATTACTGTCGGTGTGAATTATTTATTCTTCACATTGATCAGTTTTTCTTCCTAACAAGAACATTTTCTTGACGTCTTTTCCAAAACTGAGGTTAATAAATTGCGAATAAAAACACACACGATTGAAGAGGATTGAACTTTATTAACTTTTCGTGTCAAAAACACACCAGACACGAAAAATTTCAATTGAATGTAAAAATTGACAGTATTTGATAGTCTTTTGTTTTGAGGTTTGCCAGAATCAATATTGTCTTGGAATCCAACGCTTCTTATTTCTTAAATTCTATAATCCTTACACATGTTACAGTTACTTCAAAGCATTCTGGGAAGATGCCAAATATTTAATTTTTTTTGCACAATTTTATGTGTTGTGATAAGAATTTAAAATGCTTATTCATCTTATACCATAAACACAATAATACAATAACACATAATGCAATATAATAGTAATTAAACAATCATCTTCTTGAAGACCTTAGATTTTTGTGAGACTGTTGATTAGTAGGGCCACAAATCAATTTTTAACTAAATCCTGGCATTCCTTGAACAAGTATAGATTTTATGAAATTCCCAGCTTTTCCTGTTTTCACAGTAGTGTGGGACCACTGAGCTTTATTTTGCAAGCAATCTGTGCAGTAATCACACCTTCTATGAACAAAATGTTTATTTTAGGGATTTCCACATCAAAAAGCTTTAAATATTATCAGATTCACTCATCCTGCAGTATTTATAAGTGTTAAAATTTTACAACAGAATACAATTTTCAGACTTATAAAATACAAGTAGACAAGTTTTACTTTCAATCTGTGCTTTGGTACCAGTACCTCATCATAGAAGTTGATTCTCTGAGATGTACCTCTGCCCTAAAGCTGTCATTTCTCCATGTGTCAACTTACCGAAGTTCTACTGTATTGTATGGCTTGGATAAAAAATGTTTTCTTAAGCCTCAAAATCAAGTATTTTAAAAAGCAAAAACCTTCATTTACTTCAACCACAGCATTCTTCATGAGTGAGTACAAACAAAACTACAAATCTGTTTAAGTATACAATAACATTTATGGTTATCATTGGCAATCATTGTTCTACTGACAGTTAGACAAATGACAACTATCCAAAGAACTAGTTACTGAGATAATTAATGTAAATTTCTTTGCATAAGCAGTAACTGTACACAAGATAAAAAGGAAAGGGACATCAATCCCATTGGCATAGAAACAAGAAGCAGTACACCAACTGTACACAAGATAAAAAGGAAAGGGACATCAATCCCATTGGCATAGAAACAAGAAGCAGTACACCAACTGTACACAAGATAGAAGGGAAAGGAACATCAACACCATTGTCATAGAAACAAGAAGCAGTACACCAACTGTACACAAGATGAGAAGGGAAAGGAACATCAACACCATTGTCATAGAAACAAGAAGCAGTACACTAACTGTACACAAGATGAGAAGGGAAAGGGACATCAATCCCATTGTCATAGAAACAAGAAGCAGTACACTAACTGTACACAAGATGAGAAGGGAAAAGGACATCAATCCCATTGACATAGAAACAAGAAGCAGTACACAAACTGTACACAAGACAGAAGGGAAAGTCATGCCATCACCATTATCTTAGAAACTAGCCTTGTAGCTAAGTCAGTAAATCATCTAAATTATCCATATAAATAAGTCATCAGGAAATAATGCATTATTTTATTGAACTTTGAATTGGGGGAAGCAGGGGGAAAGCAGCTTTTAAATTGTCACTATCCAAGATGGTACAAACAGCTTTTGCACAGCATCAGCAGACGACAATGTCACTATGAGAGATGTATAAAACAGCTCTGGCAAACAAACTGGCATAACTTCTTTTAACCTGGCACACGTTATGTAACCTACACAATACATAACATTAATTTCATTTTAGGACAAGAAAAACAAGCAAATTATCTCCCCCTAGAATAGATAAACATGACACAGAAAGTGTAACATGCTCGTAATGTTTGAAATTATTTTCCATCTAGGGAAAATTAATCCTTGTACATATTTATATGGACAGCAATAACTCTTCTTCTATACAAAAATACCATTAATGGCCTCTAACAATAAATCGTCCCTGGAGAAACTTAAGCTAACAAAGAGCAAAAATACAAACTAATTTAGGTGAAAACTTATATCAATATTTGGCCTCCAATATAGCTAAATTAGTGTCCCGGCCAAATAATATCATAACGACCAAATTCCGGTATTTATTAACAATCATCACTCATTCAATTAGACTTTCTTTAAACAGACGCAAAACAAACATAAAACATGGCTTTAAAGACAATATGAATTATATCTCGTCTTACCATATTTGACGGCGGAAAAGAAAAATGCACAATTCTATCAAACGTTAAATATGAACAAGAGTTATATAAGAAAAACCCACGAGATCCGGTGATATAAGTTAGACCGCTGTATTGATCTTGCTAAAATAATTCATCAAATTATCTACTTTATGAGACTGATCAATTTAATATCTACACAATCAATAAGCCAATTTCATTTCTAACGGGGAAACTTTTGTCTGCTGGATCCATGTTGTCCGCAATAGCGGGGAAATTTAAGTGTTTTCTTTGTAACGTATTGATTCCAAACTCCCTATACAGTTAGTTTATCATAGAGCTTTAATCCAGCCTATTATGAAAGTTACGATTTTGAAATTAACCCTATAATGCTCTTGGCAGATATTCGTAATTATATCTTTCACAAAAAGCTTTCTGGTGTAAAGAGAATATAAAACAGCAATGTTCCATTACCCTCATTAACTGGTATCTATAGTTAATGAGATATCAATTTTTGTAATCAAAAGTTTGCTGAAATATTGATCATCAGCATTAATATAACAATAATGTTTATTACAGTCGAAAAAGTCAGGCAATCTACATAATCTAAATCAGCTTTTTCTCTTTATGAATAGTAATTTTTTTCTCTTTATGAATAGAAATTAAGTGGACAAATACACTATAAATTACACTAAGTGAAATCAAATGATACTATTGGCCATAATTATCACTAAAGGTTAGGTACCACTAAATCATAAAATATTTTCTTAATAAGGCAGGAGTGTTTCTTGAGGAAGAAAAAAAAAAACAAACAAAAAAAAGAAAATTGTCAGTCACATTTAGTAAGATTTATGGGTTGATTGCAAAACCATTTTAAGTCCTTCTTTATTTCATATAAGTTAATGGAGTTTTGCGGTCAACCCTTTCTTTTTAAGTGTTATTTTGAGTAGAAGACAGCAACTGGCTTTTTAAAACAATTACAAAATCACACTTTCATCACAGATGTCTTCTATGGCTGGAATACTTTTTAAACATATTTTCAGATATGAAAACCATCCTGGCTTTAGTCACAAATTCTAAGATTGTCAAAATCAATTCTTCCTAAAAGATAATTAGCTGTTTGTATAAAATTCAAATGTTCAAAAGTTTTCCATCTTGATTTATCGAGAAGTAAAATTCAATAAATGTAGGTCTTCTGAAATGAGCAATTTAATTTTAACAATATCGGCATCGTCTCCTATATAATTCACTTAATGTGCTTAAAGGATCTGAAAATTCAATCTACTTAAGGTAATATAGGGAGATATTTCTGCTTGAAACGAGGCCTTTGACAGCCTTGTTTCATGATATAATCTAATTTCCCAGTTTTAACCGTGTAAAACCAAGACAGTTATACAATTGCTTTTCCTTTTTGTTAATTCAGTAGCTGAATTAATGTCAAAAGTCATTTCGTTGTGGAGTAAACAGTTTCTGATTTCTTCAAATCAATTTTGCTAGAAGTCAGGAGAACTGGGATAAATACACCAACATGACGAAGAAGGTTTCCTTAAAAAAAAATTAACACCTCCGTTAATTAGATTTACATAGTTCTAATGAAGTTAAAGTAAATCTTGTAAATATGCAAATGAGCATTGTTTATTTTCTTGTCAATCTGGGTTCAATCTTTCGAAATAAATTACTTCACACTT